GCTGTCACTCTCAGGCCGGAAGCGTTGAGTTAGAAAGCACTAGAAGTCAGTCAGCCTCTGTGGCCGCAGTAGAGAATATAATAACGTTAGAGACAAAAATTGCCTGGCAGAAGGAAAGCGGCAAGAGTAGAGAAATAAAATCTGCAAAATGCCAAATCTGAAAAATATTCAGAAATAATAAATGGAAAAATGGGAAGAAAATGTGAATTTAAATGAGAAGAAATGTCTTACGACAGTGGTACGTGGAAGGAGAGGTAAATTGAGTGGGTGGCGCCGCATCGGGAATGTCCATGGGAAAGGCAGTCGCTGCTGTAGGCTGAAAGCCTTAAAGTCGGCTGCCGTTAATGATGTGAATCTAAGTGGCTTTTTATGCCGTGTCGGCCCCAATTTTTCTTGCCACTTTGCTTGGCGAGCGCATAAAAATACATTTGTTCTGCTGTCAAACGTCGCTACGACAAGCCGAAAATAATATATTGGCATAAATTAAATAACTAGAAATAAGACTTAATGTGCGGATGCTGGCACATAATGCTGGATGGAAAATGTTCAGGAGGCCAATTAAATTGAAGCTTTTATTTAGGGATATCGGAGTACGTGGAGTGAATAGGGATAGAGAGCACTCAATTATGAGTAAAACTTTATCGAAAGCAATTAAATTATTTCTTGTATTACGAGAAAGCCTTAATATATAATTACGATTTTTACTGGGATCATTTTAAATGCTCATTTGTGCTATTTTTACAGCATTTATAATGGCATACTCTTTCGTGCACTCTTATAGGAAGAGAAGTAAGTATAATCGGAATGTGTATTGCATAATTACACTTTAAAAGTATATATTAAAACGATTATTTATTTACTTAAAGTTACGTTAATCAGAATCTACAAAGAGTGAGCTGAATAATTTGTATATTTTTAAAGAACACTTCGCTGGCATTGAGGATGTTGAACTTGCTATAAGTATACCACTTTTTCTCCATTAAGTTAAAAATATATGCACAATTTTTTTACATAAATTATTTGTACTAATTTCTGGGACTTACACTGCTAAATCCTATGAACCAAAGTATCCCTCGAACCAAAGATGTAAACCTTAACTTTTTGATTTAAACCATAATCAAGTTAAGTGATGCCATCTTATAGATCTAAAACGATGTTTATAACTTGTCACTGAGCTTCTATATGACTAAAGCCCTATTACCAGGAACTATTTTAGAAGAGACATCTAAACAAGATTATAATACGTTCCATAGCGAAATAAAATTTTTACTTTTCACCATTGTACAAGGTGTGTTCCAAAGTAAACAGGAACTTTTTGAATCTAGCGCCCCCTGGACGCGCCATCTATATGTCGACTGACCTTACAATCTGCTATGTTTGTCGATTGTTCAGTAAGAATTTCATGACACTTCATTGATTGGGAGTGAAGTTATTTAAGCCCCAGTAAGTTTTGTGTTATCGGTGCAAAAATAAGCTTCGAACAAAGAGCCACCATTAAATTTTGTTTTAAAATATGTAAAACCTTTACCGAAACGCTTCAATTGATGAAACTAGTTTATGGCGATGATTGCCCATCCCGTAGCAGATTGAACGAGTGGTTTCAACGTTTTCAAAGTTGTCGTGAGGACATAAATGACGATCAACTTGTGGGCCATTCAAAATCCGTGATCACCGGAAATTCCATTGAAACTGTGCGTGAATTCATTAAAAATCAGCCGAAATCATTTAAATTCATGGAAATGGAATTGAGTATCTAAAAAAAATCGCTTTATCGCACTTTTACCGAATATTTGGGCTTACGAAAGATGTGTGCATGGTATGTTTTGCACAAATTGACTCAAGACCAAAATTGCTCAGAACTCAACATTTGAAGGACATCATTAAAGAGGTTTATTTGACCAAAAATTACATTTTAACCATTAACCACTCCTCGTGTGCACCTGATAAGGCACCGTGCGACTTCTTCCTTCTCGAAAAAATGCATTTGCCCATGAAAGGAAAGCGTTATGTAAACGTAGAGGCCTTCATTCAACAGGCTTGCAGCGGTATACTGGCGGCCATATCGGCCAACGAGCTAAAACACCCGTTCGACATGATTTTGGACCGTGCAAAAAGCTGTATTGAAGCAGAAGGAGATTATTTTGAATAAGATAAATTGATTTTGCCGAAAAAACCATTTGTTCTTTTTTGTTTTTGATTTTTTTTAAGTCCTGGTTACTTTAAAAAGCACCTTGTACGTATATTTATACCTAATTAACCGCTCAGGGTTATAGGAGTTGGAATCAATTTGACAATTAATGTAATATATTATCGACATAGTGATTCGAAATACAATAGATAATAACCTTGTGAGTAAGGGAATGGGAATATAATGATGAGGCCTTACAACTTGATGGGCATATAAAACTTAATATTTCGAAAGAATCAGTTTTTAATCAATCGACCCTATAAACGGAAATTCGTAGCCATTTAATAACAAGTTTTGAAACCTTTATGGAGCAAAAGTTTGGGTAATAATGAGCAAAAAAATAGAATGAATGGTTAAATAGATATAAAACTAGGTAACAATTAATTCGATATATTTGAAGCCTGTTTGAGTTGCTAGGAATCAGGTTTGGGAACTCCTATATTTGAGTTTTGATTAAGATATTTTCAAACCAACTAATGTCAATATATACTTATGTTATGTACGACTTTGGCAAAAAATAGTAAGACCTTTTAATGTTTTATATAGGCTCGTCTTGCTGAAATACGTAAAGTGCATTCGGCGATTTTTACGAGGAGTGAATTTATTGAATAAAGAAGTTTAATTAAGGTTTTAGTGCGGAATCAAATTTCTGGTAATCATTCAAAGAGGGCCGAGAACGCGTTGGAGACGAACCACGTCCAGGAAGACCACGTCTACTGATGATCTACACGTCAATAAAAGGAATTGGTATTTGGGTATCAACTTTTAACAGTTAGAGATCTGGCATCGCTGGAATATCGCAAGAATCAGTGAAAACCATTTTGAAAGATCATTTGGGCCAAAATCGCTCAACTTTTTCGAAAACAGCGTCGGGTTTATGTCTGTGAAACAATTCTTTCGAATACCATTATGTCAAGAAATCTATTATTACTGGCGATGAGTATTGAATCTAAGCTTACGATCCGGAAACAGACAAATCGGCCGTATATCGTAGAAAAAGTGAGCCGAAGCCGAAATACCACGTCAAAGCAGGTTTAAAATCGAGGTTATGTTGACAGTTTTCTTCGATAATCGAGCTGAGATGAACTCCGAATTCCTTCCGACAGACTAAGTTGTCAACAAGAAATATGAGTGTTATGCGACGCGAAGCTACTCGTAAAACGAGACCGGAGTTATGGGCCGAAAACTCTTGGTTTTTGCACCATGATAAGGCACCATCAAATACTGCAGGGATTCTTCGTGAGTTTTTCGTCAACTTTTCGACCATTATTATGCCACAACCAACGTATTCGCCTTATTTAAATCCTTCTGTCTGTTCAACAAACTCAAAGGACCGACCCAGTTAAACTGCTTTGAGTCAATTGCAGACATTAAACGTAAGTCCCCAGGCATATTGAAAGCTTTTCCGAAAATTGGCTTTAACAGCTGTTTCGCGGGTTGGAAAAAACCAAGTGTGTTGGGGACAAAAGATATTACATTGGGGGGAACAATATAGATTTCTAAAGATAAGTTAAGAATTTTAAAATTATGAACAAAATCTTACTATTTTTTCTTCATTGTAGCGTATCTACAGTTAAATTTGTGTGTCTGTATATTTAAATATACAACAATAGATAATGTTTAATGTTGAATAGGACACAATTTTCAACACAAATCATACATACACATGTGTGTTTGAAAATCACTTGAACCCAGGGGATTAAATGGTAAAACATGACAAGCATTAATCCACCAGCGGATTACACATTAAATCGCCGAATGCGAGAGGAAGTACAAATATTGTTGGAGCAAGTAGTCAGTAGGTACATGTATGTAGAAATGTGTAACTATGTCGTGATTATCACATTGTTTCCGTTTCGTAATAGTAATTTTACCCTTCAAGTGCATTTAACCATTTATTTGTTGAGGATTATTTTGTCATAATTTTTTGATGTCATTATTACATGAGCGGGACTGTTGACAGGCATAATTATGCGAATGATATAAAAAAACTCTCAAAGACCACTCGAAAATTTTTACTGTCTTTCTTTGTCCGGAATTGTAAGAATTTAACGATCATCTGCTCTCGAGTAAAGGCAGCGTGACAATAACTATGAACGAAAGAGTGCTCTCATACTTTGTATTTCACATCTGCGTGTACCTATAACCTCTTACCTCTCTAAATTTCATCAAAGTCGGTTCAGTCATTTTTCATTACATATTAAAATTTGTCTGCTGGTTCCATTGTATAATTTTGGTATAACAGTATTAAGCGTGTAGACGCGTATGTATACCGCTATTCATTGTCACTGGCACAAATATTGCATAATCAATTATTCCTGTTAAATGATAGATTCATCGCGCATTTGAAATAGTTGTTTTTGTTATTCGTGCGTAAATAAATAAATCATTTTGGCAAATAAATTGCCATCAGCATTGTTGTATTTGAGTCGGTATTTATCCGATACTGATACGATTGCGTTGCAGACCATTTATGCGTTATGCAGAAAAACTATTTTAACAGTAAAAATAAGAAACGAGGAATGAAACGTTTTTATGTGGATTTAAGTGAGTATTGACTACTGTTGAATTGAATTTAAATATTTGCTAATTTAAGTGAATGAAGTTTGTGTAAACACTTGCGGTAAATTAAAATTACAAAATCGAAAATTATTTTACTTCTAAGTAAATATTTGTAATCTATCTCGGTAATTAATTGTCTAATGAATATAAGATAAGATACAGTTTATAAAGCTAACAATATTTGCAATTTTCATTTAATTTGAAAGTGCCTTGCGTATGTGAATAAAATTAATTAAATTTCTCTTTCCAGAACTCTGCTTTATGTGCGAAAAATGTAGGGAATTGACCAGTTTAAGAGATGTTATACTTGAAAATGCCAAATTTTTATTTGCAAAGACCTCAATGATTTACTGTAAGTATTAGTTATCTAAGAATGAACATGTTTACGTTAGTTAAAATTTATTTAATTTGTTAAATATAAAATATTATATTATATTATTTATATATATTTTATATACTTAAATTCGAATACACTTACGGCTGCTATCACTATGTTTAATCTCTATTAATTAATTAATCTAATTAACACAAAATACTGAATATAATTAAAAGATATGTATTTTGCGTATTTTTTATGAAAATTTATTTGAAGCTTATTATTATCGTAGAAAAATGTTTTGTAGGTTAATGCTAAGCAATACTCGCTTAGGTTGAGTTTGGTTATTCTGGTAGGCCAATAAGCCACTCATATACCAGTTTTGGTTCTTTGCAATACCAGATGAAGTTCAGTTGCTAGGCCCATGAGGAGTGGTGATTCTTTAGGATGCCTGCGCTTGACACGAATTTTAACAGACTCTGCGGCCTCACTCTCGATACTTCCTCCAGAGTATTATACCGTATTAACCCCAGATGCTTACACCGTAGCTTTGCCAATGCGAGACAAGTGCACAAGAGAAGCTGCATTGTTTTTTTGGTGCCCTGCTCCAGACATTTTCTGCAGTCTTCTCGATCTGTCAGCCCTATTCTGCGGGCGTAAATCGCAGTTAATTTTTCGATCGATCAAGCTCCTACAGTGTCTTTTATCGAGTGCCAATTTTAATTTTGTATACTTACGATCTAACATTTTACACCCTGGTAGCTCGTTTCATCAGGCTTAGATTTTCTTTACCACACTTCTGTTCAGGTCGTCATATAGACAATGCATGTGTTTCTCAATGGTGATCATGGGTATTAGCCGTACACCTTTCTTGGCAATCCCACGGCGAGCCTACTTCATTGCCTTCGATGACTTTGTGACCTGGCACACAGTAGAAATGAAGTTGCTTGCTTCTGGCAATACTTTTCACTGCTGCTTTGCTTCCCAATACACTTCTGGCCGATATACGATACGAGGTTATTACCTTGATTGATATTTTCTGTATACGTAGGTGTTGACTCTGTAATTGCTTGGAAGTGCATTAGCCTCCACGGCTTTCGCAATAGCAAAGATATCAGCTTGAAATATATCGCAGTGATGTTAAGAGGTTCCTTTATTTCTAACTCTTTACAATTTATTCTCGTACCAACTTCACCGCTGATTTTCGTGCCGTCTGTATAACTTACGATAACCCAATATTCCACAAAATGTATACGTATAGTGGTTATATATTACAGTGGCAAGTTCAGAATTTTATGAAACTAATTTAAGGAGCCTGCTTTAGAGGCGTCAAAAAATCGATTTTTTGATAATTTTTTTGGGAAAAAAGAAATAATTGATTAAAGCGAAATTCCTAAGGTTTATAGTTATTTTGGGTACGAAATCTTCCTTTGGGAAGCAACTGCCCGCTGCATCTCGCATGTGCATTTGTCGCACGGCGGGTAGGATGCAGGTAGTAAATTCTATCTGAAACAAAAAATTCAAAAAGATTCATATTTGTTAAACTTGTTTTCTAGGTAAACTAAGAAAATTTCAAGAATTGGGTAAAATTCAAATTCAAAGAAAAACAAGAAGAAACGTTAATTTCGGCTGCACCGAAGCTTATATCCTTCACAGGTGCATTTCTTTTAGTAACTGTGTGTTCAGTTTAGATGGGAGCTATATGCTATAGTAATACGATGTGAACAATTTTTTCGGAGTAACACATCTCAAATTTCGTGAAGATACCACGTCAAATGTGAAAGTTTTCCATACAAGCCGATTCCGATTGTTCGGCTTGTATGGCAGCTATATGCTGTAGTTAGCCGATCTAAACAATTTTTTCTGATATTACATTATTTCTATGAACAATAACTCATACTAAATATCGTGAAGATATATCGTCAAGAGGAAGTTTTCCACACAAGAACTTGATTCTGATTGCTCCGTTTGGCATCTATATGATATAGTCCGATATCGGCAGTTCCGACAAATGAGCAGGTCCTTGAAGAGAAAATGATGTTTCCGAAATTTCAAAATGATATTTTAAAAACTGAGGAACTAGTTCGTATATATAGAGACAGACAGACAGACAGACGGACAGACAGACGGACATGGCTAAGTCGACTCAGCTCGACATACTGATCATTTATATATATACTTTATAGGGTCTCCGACCCTTCCTTCTGAGTGTTACAAACTTCGTGACAAACTTAATATAATATGTTGAGGGTATAGTAATCTTTTTCATTAAATAATAACATTGTCCCAATTCGATACGACATTGAGTTTTTTTGCCTGCCCGCCAGTTAAGGAAAGTCGTAAAATGCAAAACCGAGAAATCGCGCGTCAAAGTTTTCGCTTTCTGCCCAAGCGCTCATATATCTGCTAGACGCTTGGCCACTATTTCCCCTCTAGCTTCAAAAATATTTGGAATTAACTCTATAACTTTGGGGACACATTCCTAGAAAATTTTTAAGCAAAAAACGAAAAAAAGTTTGTTTTATGCTTCTAAAGCAGAAAAAACCTAACAGCTTGACGAGGTACTAACAAAATAAGTCTTCGTTTCTTACCTCCACAGAAAGCATATTCCCGTGTTTGCAATATTTTCTTGAAGAAGTGAAAAAATATATTTATGTAATACATTTAAAACTATAGAGGTATTGATAAACTATTAGTTATACCTAAGCCATGTGTCATTGGGTTTTATGTAAAATAAGCATACGTGTGTTATATTCGTTGACTTCAGCAAAACTTTTTACAAAGTGTTGTGTTCCGCAATATAGTCTTCTTGTTTTTAATTAACTTTAATATAATATATGCCGATGAACTACAACTTTTTAAATCATTCGCTTCAGTTGATAATCGCTGTCTGTTCCAAACAGACTCAAATAATTTAGTTGCTAGGTGTTAGAGAAATTACTTGTCATTTAATCTCAAAAAATGTAAGGCGACATGCTTTAATCCTCTTCTTATGTAATAAAAAACTATAGATTAGACCAAGTCTTTAACTTTGTTGGTTTGGGAATTACTATCGATCCTAAACTATATTTTTATATTGATTCATACCGACACTATGGTTTTCATTTGAGGGCAATTGGTTTTGAAAGCAAATTACGTTATTAGTTTTGTACAACTTTGGTTCTGTGGTATGGCACTCTAGTTACTAAGCCATTGTGACGAGTTAGAGATTTTACCTTTCGCCTTAGGGCATTTCCGATGAGATTTCAGGTTAAGTCTACCTCTATATGTTTAATACATATGAATCTACACTGCAGGGAAAATCTTGCCACAATATTGTTAGTAAAAATCCTAAATGTAACTTTTGTATTGTATTTTATCTTCTCTAAAATTCAATTTAATTTCTCGGTTCGCTGTTCGAAGCAGTTTAGACCTTAGTGTTAAAATCTGGTCAAATTTTGGGCTAATTTTAGACTTTAGTTGGTCTGATTTATTTGACCCACTTATCAAAATTAAAAATACTATTTTTCTTCGTAAATATTAATAATAAAGTTGTAACATTTTATTATAACGAAATTATTCTTTTTGTAGCTTGCCTTTCATGGCTAGCTAAGATATGTAATCGTTGGGGTAATAATTCAACCGAAGTCTTATTCAATGAAACCTTTATTAGGCGATTAATTTAGATCTCAGCAAGCCTTGTGAGTGAAAGAGTGTTGGAACACAGCTTCAAGAACTCAAGTTGCCTTAATATAGCTTAGCTTACTAAAAATAGTTCATTATTATTTTTTGTTTATCATTTAATATCAGCTGTTTCGGAGTAATTTCATCGAAATCACAATAAATTTATAAAATAGCTTAAGTTTCTCTAAATTGAAACTTCAAATGACTCTTGACAGTGCTGTTGCGCAGATTAAGCCGTAAACTTGTTATTTCAGATAATCTCTGCTTTCCAAAGACGTTGCCCAACACCTAATAGCCTCCTAGCCGCCTAGCCATCTGACAAGTGAAATCCGGCTTATAATCTGCTGAAAGCATGGCAAATTCCTTTTGATATGCGCTTTAATTCGCTACAGACGCCGCAAACTTAACGGTTAAACAGTGCGTATGAGTAATTTTCGCCAATGGGGAGGCAACTTGGCAAAGTGCAATTTTCCTTAGAGCTAAGTTTTAATTAAAATTTGCCAACCGCCACATAGAAAAGTAAACAAAGCGTAGCTGCCACATAAGCATATACACCTAAACGTTTGTGTGTGTGTGTGTGTGTGTGGGGGGTGTGCGCGCATTAAATATGTGAAAGTAATAATGCATACGGTAAAATTAAAAACAAAGCGCTGCGTAACGGAACATATGCACGTACATGTATTTCGGCAGTAGTCGGGATACCTCGATACCGTTATAAGTCCAAACAAAAATCCGCCCCACCATGAGCCCGCTTATTACACCGTGCAACACGTAGCAAGATTTCGACAATTTCATCTGCGATCAAGCTAAGAGTCTTTGTTTTTTGGTCTGTGTAAAATACAAAGTAACTAACTTATATGACTTTAGTGGCTGGATGCGAATTGGGTGCCGTAAAATGCAGACTTCAGTTGTGGGAGGTGTCTGCAGTCAGCGCTGGCACCTGCCGCACCCGCGATAGGAAACCACGGTGATAAAAGCATGTGGTGCGCACAGCCAGCATGCCACAAGCTGTCAAACGGCGCACACACACATACATAGATATGCGCGTATCTACGAATGCAAGAAACAGCCATGCCGAATACGAAGAAGCTGCGGCCATAGAAATAGCTGACACCCTGCTGTGCTCCTGACAGCCGCAGTAGAAATGTGAAATAACATAAATGTATATATGGGTGTTTGTGTGTGAGAAATTGTGTCATTTGGCCGTGTTGCAAGCAGTGTCGGCAAAAATTGAGACAATGTTGCTTCTGTCGCCTTCGGTGTGCGCCTTTCGTTGGCAACAGTGAAAAAGTAGCTGCGACGCGGCAACCTTCTTGCCAGATAGTCGGCCCATATTCGCCCAATTTTTTAACATTTCCTTTTTACTTCGCTCC